TTTCTTCTTTTTTTCAGCATGGAATAAACCTATTACTTGTTCCTTTGCAGCCTACGCATGCTGACGCAGCTACCCACCTGAGTATTTCTAAGGTTCAGGGTGCATAAACCCCTCAACCGGACAAGTGCAATATTGTACCTGTATTTTGCAAACCCCAGCCCAGATCTTATTATTCCTCTAATAGTGTTAAGGTGTTAGCTTTCAAATCACATTTTCCGTCTCTTCTTATTTCTTCTTGAAGTACGGACACTGATCTGTGTCCTGAGGTAAGCGTGTTCTTTTAAGACTGTCACATTGATGAACAATTCCAGCAGAAGTGACTTGTGAAAGAATCTCCTCTCAACAAGAACTCCGTTGTCAGGCAGTGCTGAGTACACAGGAAGCAAGGTGCTTGCATCACATCCTGTCCTCGCTGCTGTGTGGGATGTACTAGGGGGCAGCAGTGATGTGCAACTCCAGTTCACCCCCTCTCTCAGCCTGCAGAGACCAGATGCAAGAAATATCCATGCACCTATTGTAGTTTGAGACAAAGGAATAATAGGGAGTTACTTAAGTTTGGATTCGCATGGCTGAGCATGAGGGTACAAAGAGAAAGACTGCTGTGGAGCACCCCCAGCCACAGCTCCCTTGCTGATTTTTATCATTTATTAAGAGTTACCATTTGAGATCACAGTGAAACACCCACCATCCACTTGACAATACAGTACAGCCACATAGATGCCTGCACATTGACATCTGGCCTCTGTTTATCACTTGAAAGTGGAGTCCCTGGTGGTTTCGGCATCAAAGAATAGACATGGTTTCTTCCGAGAGCTGCGCTTTGGCCTTTCCAAAGCGAGAAGGAAGCAGTGTACAGAATGAGCAAACATAGGCTGTTGCACACACTTAGTGGCTCTTGGACCTACTCTTTTGGTGATTGAGTTATACTGTGCATTGAGGAAGAAATTTTAATGAATCCCTTCCTTAAATGATCCAGTAGAATGGGCTTCCCAAACATGGGTTTTACATTTACTCTGTGTGTATAGTTCTTCCTGTCCTTGATGCTGCCTTCAGAATCCTGATCCCTGTCCAGGACTGCAGTTCTAAAGGCTTAAGGGTTTTTTTGTTCTTGTTGTTTAGGCAGATACCTTGGGACCCATCTTGTAATGGCTATGCCAGATTCTCAGATCAATTAACAAACTACCAAACACATTAGATAGAAGAAGCTAGGGGAGGTTTATGTAGTCTTATGTTCTTAAGACCTAATCTGAAATCTCCCTGTAGTCTCCCTTGTTCTAGAGTAAGGAAATTGTTTTTCTCTAATCAGTAGTCTGCATATTTGTTAGGAAACCTCAGGATATTTCATTTATTGGTTTTTCTTCACAAGAAAGATGCTTCAATTTATTATAGGAACTTGCAAGCCTGTTTTAAATTAAAGTAAATCAAAACAATGCCATTTCTTGGAAATGACTGAGGTTATTATGTTCTTGGAATATGACAAGCAGCCCAGATGTAACAGTGTGATTGAAATACTACAATATTAATGCACAACCATGATTCCTCATAGTTCGTGAAAATAACATAAAGCTTCAGAAAAATCCTGAGCATTTCCAATTTGTGGGTTATAAAACCCTCCTGTTGGATCAGTCAGCTTTTGTTTGATTTTGCTCTTCGGCTGTTACAATTTGTGATCCTGGCCATATTGCATCTAACACTGTATTTTAGCTTCATTAACTAATAGTCTATAACTAAACCAAGCAGTTTGTTAGACCATTTAACCATGTCCTTTTTTTAAAACTACCTATAATGTTTTGTTAAACAAATGATGCAGTTATGACCCAGCTAGGGTAAAAGTGCTAGCCAAATAAATTAAATGAATATTAATGAATTAATGGACTCTGTGGCATATTCAAGTCATCGATTAAACTAGCCAGTTACTGATCTGGCTTGACAACTTTCCCAGTGGTTTAGTTGTGATAAACCTCCACGCTAATGTAGAGCTCTAAGTCAGAGGTTGGGCTGTGACCCGGCCCCTCTTCCTGATGGCGACCTGTCTGACCCCTGTTCCCAGTACGCTCTGGAGCGCTTGAAGGTGATGTGCGAGGACGCGCTGTGCAGCAACCTGTCTGTGGACAACGCCGCCGAGATCCTGATCCTGGCCGACCTGCACAGTGCCGATCAGCTCAAGACGCAGGCAGTGGACTTCATTAACTAGTGAGTGTGGCGTTCAGCTCCTCCACCGGCTGGGCGGGGCGTGCCTGACCTTTTCTTCACTTGATACTGTGGATAATTAAGCGTGCTGTTTCAGGTGTTTTATTGCAGTTGTCATTGAAGAATGTTTGAAGGGCAATTATTCACATTTTTTCCCCATCATATGTGTCCAAGTTCTGAGAGGCATTAAAATGCAACAAATGCTGTTGCTTATAAGCCAGTTTGTTGTATTCAAACTACAGAAATAATCAGGATATACAGCACACGCACATTTATTCATCACCTCCCAGAAGTCAATACTGTTTCTTCTTTATCAGTGATTTCCTTGCCTCTGTCCAGATAACCATCTCCTTTATATTGTGCTCCACACGTTGATGGCTGTGCGCTGTGCTCTCCTCTTGCTTTCAGAGCTGGAATTACAGTGAAGAATAGCACATCTTCTCCCCCTCGTGTGTGCGTGCACAAGTTTAAAAAACGGACAGTCTTTGTCAACAGGCGATGCGGAAACTACAAAACATCAAAGTTGAAAATGTATCAGAAACCTATAAAAACATAGACCTTTCTAATGATGCAATTTCAATGCGTTATTCTTGTAAGTTGAAATATGTTATTTTAGTTTTTATAGATAAGAACATAGACATTAATGATATCATGTTCTTATTAGCTCTTTCACAGTCAGATGCACGTGGAATAATATTTTGATGTTTATGGTTGGAAACTGGAGGCAGAGTGGTGCAGGGGTCAGCATGGCTGTCTCACTGTGCTGGGGCCCTGGGGTCAATTCTGGACCAGGGGTGCTGTCTGTGTGTTTGTATGTTCTCGCTGTGTTGAAGTGGGTTTCCTCCCACAGTCCAAAAACATAGCGGTAGGTTAGTTGGGTTTTGAGAAAATTGTCCCTGGTGTGAGTGTGAGTGTCTGTGTTTGTGATGGGCTGGAGTCCAGTCCAGCGTGTTCGCTACCTTGCTCCTGTTGCTTGCTGGGATAGGCTCTGGCTCCTGCATGACCCTGAACTGGATGAAGCAGTTTGTTACAATGTATACTTGATATTGTTATGACTTAACATGTAAGTCCTGTAGTGACACAGACAGTGGCACAGTGATTGGGCTATTTGATTTGGGATCTTTCTCCCCTAGTTAGTGTTCAGCTGTTTTCTGCATGCTGTTGCATCTGTGGGAAGCAATGAAGAGGTTAAAACAGCAGACTGTTTATAATGCAAATTCTTAGTTGAGTCTCGCCATTAATTGTAGCCCCGCGTTATGACAGTTTAATTTGCAGCAATATTGTTGTTTTCTTTGAATTGCCCCCTGGAGATGTAACAGCAGCATATCAAACCCATTTTACCCTCCCTGGAAAAAAATCAATAAAGGAAAATAATATAGAAAACAAAAGCTCTCTAACCAATGTACTCCACCCCCCAGCTCCCGGATTGCTCTCCGCACGGCCTCCTGGGAGGAGCCCCAACGCAGTAACCGCCTTGCGCCATACTTGCTGAAAACACGCGCGCGCGAGAGAGTTGTGCGAGCAGGGGGTGTGCAGAATGCACTGCGAAAATGACAGAGACTCGTTATGGCAGTGTGATACAATACATTTCAGCTTTCACCAGCTGTAGACTCACACATGAGTCATTGGTTTCAAACCAGGCCCATGGACTCCTTCAAGTTCAGATGTTTCCAGCTGCTTCTTCCAATTCAGGGTCGCTGGGGAACAGGAGCCTGTCCCGGCAAGGCAGGGACATCCTGGATGGGCGCTAGTCCATTGCTCGACACACACACATGTATGGCCAGTTTTCCCAGTAGCCAGTTCACCTGCAAGTATTTCTTTGGATTGTGGGAGAAAACAAGAGCACATGGAGGAAACGCATTCAAACGTGGAAAGAATATACAAACTCCACACAGACAGCACTCCCGGTCCAGAATTGAACCCAGGGCCGCAGCACCTTAAGGCAGAAATGCAAACGAATTCGCCAGCAAGCCGTCTGCTATGAACCCATCACTTTTCTTTTAAAGTTAAACTGCTTTCAGGTCTGTATAAAACATGTAAGTAGTGCTGACTGAAAATTTGCACACCCTTTCCAACACGTTTTGTGAGCAAACAACCTGAAATTAACAAATAAAAGGTTTATTCCATGCTGAAAAGAGAAGAAAGGAAACAATGTTTCTTCGCACCCGAAGAAGGCTCCACTGCTTTCATTTCTTCTTTTCAGCGGGGAATAAACCTTTTATTTGTTCCTTTGCAGCCTACGCATGCTGTCGCAGCTCCCTACTTGAACTACGTCAACCTGAAATTAAGCCTTGTTAAATCAGAATTTATTTTAACTTTATTCACTCTTCGTAACATAAAACCTATAAGTAAAAAAAAAAACAGATGCTCAAGCATTCTGAAATGTAATTGCAAATGAAAAAATATCTTAACATTTTAATACCAATCTGGACACAGTGATGCTTTATGTGCAGTGTACAGCAGTTATGAATTTATTCCAAAGATAAGCAACAGTTGGACGCTGGACGTCGGCTCTGCTCTGACGCTCTGGTTTGTGATTGGGGGCGATTGGCCACCAGGAGGGGGGTGCTGTTGGGGTGGGTGGTGAGAGGGACAGGTGAGAGTCTGCACTGGGCTGCTTGCAGAGCCGCTGGGGCCATTATTAGCCAGCGTGTCCCGGTGCTTTGACAGGGCCCTTGGGGGCTGGCCTCGCTCGATCGGCTCTTTCACTTCATCTCTAATTCAGCCTCGCCTGACGAGTGGCGGGGAAGACAGAATTGATATTGATCTTGCAATATTCGCCCAAACCCCAGGTTGACTCGGAATGTGGTGCTGCTGTTAAACCCAGCCTCAGGTCATTAAAAAACAATAATTCCTGGAGCCCACCACGCTGCTGACGCGTGATTGCTGGGCCGGACCCCTCCACACGCACACGCACACGCACACGCGTGCTCTGACTGCTTCTGGGCCTCTCTGCGGAGGCAAGGGGGCGGACAGTGGGGCAAGCTTCTTTTTTTCCCCTTTTATTCGTTTTGATTTCACAGACTGAAGTGCTGTGCATGACGTGGACAGCCTGTTACCCTACCCGATCCCAGTTCGCCTTCCGCTGCCAGATGCTCGCCTGCCCAGAACGTGACTCGAGAGAGTCGGGGGGCGAGCGTGCCCTGGCGGCGAGCTGCTCGCTGCTGGAGGTGGCCACTGCCTCTCGCTCTTTCCTGTCTGATTGCTGCCTGATGCGCTCCGATTCTTACTTTCCAAGACTGTGTTTTTTCTTGTTATTCCTTAACCCCTCTAAATCCTCCTTGCACTGCGAACTCCTCTGCCCCTTGGGCCCAGCCTGACGCTGCCAGCCTCTTCTTGTTTCGGTTAGTTTCCTCTCCTTTTTTCCCCCCTCTCTTTTCGTTTATTCTCCTCAGACACTGAAGCAGAATGAACTGGCTGGCAAACAAGATGCCCTTCCTGCCATTTAAAATCCGAAAAGTCCAGAAATGAATACGAGCCCCGTCTTCTGTGTTTTGTGTCGCCTACCTGTTTGCCCGTGCAGCTTATTTTTGCATCCTCAAGAACAGGAAAACAGATCAATTTCTTCTTTTGTAGAAACCTGCAGCCATTCTCAGCTGGCTGACGTTGCTCAGCCACTGAGATGTTATTTCTGAAGTCTGTATAGATCGGGACAAGTTAAGTGTCGGTTACCCTCAAGACAATTCCTGTGTCACTGTGCTGTAGCTCAGGGTTCTACAGCACAGTACAAATTGATATTTCATAACATTTTGTCATGCCAGGACGCCACAGAGCACTTCACGGAATGAGAATAACTGTTTTTAAAGTCAGAAAACGTACAGCACTCCCAGGATAAGATACCCTTGGCGACGATCAAGAGAAATGTATAAACTGGCTGAGCGCTGCCAGGGGTAGGATTGAGAGTAGTCGACCTGGGCTCTCTTGGCTCCCAGCAAAAATTCAAGGCTTGCTACTTTCTGGGCCTGTCACAGCATTACCGCCAGATAAAGACCACGCTGACGTCTGTGAAAGGCCCACCGCAGACAGCACACAGTAGTTTTCTTTTCACACTAGCTGCTGTTGAGCTACCGGATCTCAGGCTTTTAGCATTTGTGTCAGGCATATCATTGTCTTTCAGAGTTTTTAAATCTGACTTCATTTAGAAGTCAACAAGCAAGTCAGTCAGTCAGAAGTCAACAAGCAAACACAGTGACAGCATACTACTGCTCCAGTGATCAGTCAGTCTTAGTATCTGCTGTTTGTCTTCCTACTGTACATAACCAGTGGTTTACCAAAAACAAATCTTTCATTATAAGTAGCAGTAATAGCCATAGTTCACTATCATAACTTCCCTAACAAAAGTACTGTATAGATCGCAATAGATTTCTGTAGAACTCTTGTGTGGACCTTGTCTCATCCAGAGGATGATGCCTGTTTTACAGTATAGTGGACCCATCACTATACTTGGGTGTTAGAACCCACACAGACCGTAGGGTGAGCGCCCCCTGCTGGCCCCACTAACACCTCCTCCAGCAGCAGCCATAGCTTTCCCAGGAGGTCTCCCATCCAGGTACTGGCCAGGTTAAACTGCCGGCAGCTATATCACAGTGGTGGTGTCTTGACAGAGCCCCGCATTTTGGAACTTTACAGACAGGGCTGAAGGGTGACTGAAGGAATGGTCACTGTGATGAGCTCTTGAGCCCTGCCTCTTTACTGAGCGATCCAAGCTGTAGGTTAGAAACAGATGCTGTCTTAGGACGGGGCTGTACTCAGTAGAGCCTTGAAGATGGTCAATGAGATGTTGGTGTCCAAGGTGAGAGTGCTAAGACCTGAGGCCTTCTCCTGCTGGAACTCAGTCTGAAACATCCAGTCATTCTGTGGTCAACATGCAAAATCATGTGAAAGAAAGCTAACAACTGGGGTGTTATTATTGACCATTTTAATAATACAGTTTTATTTATGAGCAGTCTTCAAGCAACCCAAAGTGCCAATTTACTTGGCAGTATAAAAATACAACAGTCCTCTTAAGCATAAAAGGTCCTGTGGTTTCAATTAGTCGTTTTGTGTCTTTAAGATGCTGTAATAAGGCAGTACATCTCAGCGGGCTGTGCCTTGCTGTTCGGTAATGACACATCAAGATTACTTTGTGTGGAAGGAGTAAAAAAAAGTCAAGTGCTCTCCATCACCCAGGGTGTATAATTACAACACAGTACATGGCAAGGGGAGCTCACCGCTGCTTTGAGTTAGGCTAGAATTCTTCATGAGGTCTACCTGCCATTACAGGATACTAACTCCTCAACAAGAGCATCATATCCACAGGCATGTTTCAGGAAGAGCACAGTCAAACCACTTAAAGATAACGTGGCTATGCAGTGGAAGAAAGCTGAAATATGTACAATGCTAATATACTTCCAGTCATTCTTAAACATTGCAGAGAAGGTTACATAACCAAAACAAAACAACATTCCATTGAAAAAAAACATTTCCGATTATGATCAATAAAACTTACATGTTCAAAGAGAAGTTGGATTTTAAAGTCTGGGCATCCCTTAAAGTGAACCAGGAGGGAGTTTCACAGGCAGTTGTCAAACTGTCAGGATGGGAAGGCTTTAATACATTAAGGGCTTTTTAAGTTATTGTAACTATTTATAGACCAGTTCATAGAGACACCTGTGCAGGTTCTTAAAGCATTTTGTGTGTGAAGTCTGTAACTTCACATGCATGTTTGTGTGAGAGTGAGGACTCTGGTGTAGAGGCATGTGTGTGTGAGAGTGAGGACTCTGGTGCAGAGGCACGTGTGTGTGAGAGTGAGGACTCTGGTGTAGAGGCACGTGTGTGTGAGAGTGAGGACTCTGGTGTAGAGGCACGTGTGTGTGAGAGTGAGGACTCCGGTGCAGAGGCACGTGTGTGCGAGAGTGAGGACTCTGGTGTAGAGGCACGTGTGTGTGAGAGTGAGGACTCTGGTGTAGAGGCACGTGTGTGTGAGAGAGGACTCTGGTGTAGAGGCACGTGTGTGTGTGAGTGAGGACTTTGAGAACAACAGCAAAGAGCTTGTTTGTACCCAGAGATGGATGCTCATACAGTATATTGCATTGAGACTTTTCATTGAACTTTATAGACCTAGAAATGCATTTTTTTAGAAAGACAATTTAAGAATAAAGAATTCCAGGTCCTGCGTTAATTTATTATGAACACTTATTCTTTTTTTCCACGTTGATTGATCCAAGCTCTTAATTCATCGGCAGTGGCTAAAGAGCTTTTATCTTGCTTCCCTGTATCAGGGAGGTTAACCAGGGAAAAATGGAGAGCTCATGGACTGAGAGACTGTTTGAGTAGTCAGAAATGTTAAACAACACAGTAAAATATCATTTAAATATGGTTTTCCACTCAGCGCAGAACGTGGCACAGATGCCAAGTAAGCATGGCTTTTAATACCATCTGTTACGCTTTCATTTGGCTCCAAGATGGTTTCTTGTGTCTCTTAACTTGTGATATTTATGCACCACTGAAATTAGAACTATAGTCCCTGTATCCCACAGATGAACAAAAATTCCAAAAACTAACTTTAAGGAACCATAGTATCATCATAAATGTCGAAAGTGAGGTTAATGTCTTTTAATAAGGGCTGTAGTCCCCTGTGTCATGGCAGAGTGTGAGTGTTGTAACGGCCTCGCCGTGCTGGGTAAGCTGGTGTGCAGGAGTCCTTCAAGGACAGACTTAATGAAGCGCTAGGATCCATTATCTAATAGTATTGAAGCAAATGCAATGATGTGCTTCCCCCTTGTGAAATTTCACATGGCACTTCCCACCTTAACAATGGCTTTACCACAGGTTTCTGTTTTTAGATGCTTTCACTGCTTTTCTACAGTGGATCATGGGGGAACATCTAAATTGTTAGATTAACCTGAAGGCACGGAGGCACGTTTGCTGTAGTGTATCATGGTATTTGTATTGTAAGAACTGTAGGAATCTTTTGCAAAGCTATAGGAAAAAATCATAGTAAATGGGCAAAAAATACTGTGGTGAATTTGCAGTAGGACTGTTTGGAGCTCTTTTTCCTCCCCTGTGTGGAGTGTTGTCTGTTCTGCAGTAGCTGTTCTGTGGGTGCAGGATTCAGTGTTACTCCCGGCGGACATGATGGCAGTCAGGGCTGCTTGACGAGATGAGTGGTGTGGATGCTCGTGTCAAGGAATTGTCTTTCCCCTGTCTTTCAGCCACGCGTCAGACGTCATGGAGACGACGGGGTGGAAGTCCATGGTCGTCTCTCACCCTCACCTGGTGGCCGAAGCGTACCGCTCCCTGGCGTCGGCGCAGTGCCCGTTTCTGGGGCCCCCCCGCAAGCGGCTGAAGCAGTCGTAATGCGCGCCGCCCCCCTCTCCCAGTCTCCTCTCGTTCCCACCCCCGATGTCCTCCTCAGCCGCTCCCTCCTGCTGCCCCGATTTCAGCTTCCCTCCTCTCCCCGGACCCCCGGAAACGTGCACCAGTCTTTCCCGTGCAAAACCAGAGAAACGAGATCTGCTGCGATGCGATGCTTTGGGAATTCGCCGCCGAGAGGCGCAGCCGTGCTTCCTCCCTCTGGGGTGAGCCGGAGAGGAAGGTGTGGATCGTGTCTCCACCTTGTGGAGAGACGCGCAGAAATGGGCGATTGTCTACAACAGGCCAGGCGAGCGACGGCAAGGGCGAAAAGAAACGGCCACTGACTCAGCCAGCCAGCCAGGGAAGGAAAAGCGAACAGGAATTGGAATTCCAGCAATGGTCACCCTGTCTTCACGTCTGGGGCACCGAGTGCTGTTTTTAAACCGATACAGGAAAAAAAAAAACTGTTTTTAACAGCGAGGAACGTGATGATAAAGAGAGCTTTTTTTTTTAAACAAAAAGACACGCACAAACTCAAAAAAGCAGCAAAAAAAAACCCATCACCAGAGGCTTCATGTAAAGCAAAAGCAAAGAGCGTAGCGCCATTTTTAAACTTTGCACTAATCTTCCTCTTTCCCTCGTGATTCCAACCGTTTCCTGCCGTGGCGCAGAGCGAGGAGAAAGAAACGCCGGACAATGGTAGCAACAGCGAAAGTGCTGGAAAGTAAAACAGACAAACCGGAACATTTCAGCCATTCGGACACAAGCAGTTCAGCCAGGGATACTGAACAGAAGAGACAAAATTAAGACTCTGGTCCTTTTTTTTAAGCCTTTGTCTTTTTTTCTTTTCAACAAGCAGGAAATAATGGAGAAGAAAAGTGTACACACATTTATGTGACATCTTTGTATCGGAATTTTCTTCTAGTAGCACTTGTGTATGGAATTCAAGAAGGTTTCTGTACAAAAACATGAAAAAGAGGCCACTCAATTTAGGGTGAGAAAACGGTGATGTCCAAATGCCAGTAGGCCCAATTCAGCACGTAGTTTCTTGTTTTTGTGTTTTTTTAGTCCTTTTCTTCTTGGTTTCAGATGAGGAAAAAACCTTCTTAGTGAGTTTTTTTCTCACTGCAGTTTGTACAAAACGTTGACATTTTGAGTGAATATGAAAGACACAGAGTTTTGTATCTCTGAGTCTGGTTTTTCTCCATAAAAATTGGGAAAAAATGTTTTGGTTTGGGAAACAAAAAAAAGAAATGAACACGTTTTAATGTTCAAGATATCCAAACTATTTCTGTAAGAAAAAAACAATCAAAAAACACTATCATAAGTGGTTTCTACATAAACAGTCGACTTCAATGTTCGATCTTGAGATGTTTTTTTCCCTTCCTGTTTATAAAATTAGTTGCTGTTCAGAAATGAAAGATACTTAAATAGTTGTAACAACTTTTTTTTTGTTTTTGAAGATATAAATTACAACTATTTTGTATTGTATTGCACCTGTGTCCTTTGTGTATTTATTCTCTTCCCCAGACAGTGGAGTTCTAAGCCAGCTGACACTGTGAAATGAGTTGTTTTATCTTCTAGAAAGCTTGTCGTGTTGCGACAGTGGCCTGGTGGGGGGCAGTAATTCTGAGAGAGGCTAACAGTAATGTAACCCGATTCAACAACATGGCTGGGTCCTTTTAAGAGGACCCCTACCTCTTCTTTATCAATTGTGTCCCCAAGTCTTGGAATTATTGCTGATCCTTTTTAGTTGTACTTTTTGAAGGCATTAACGTAGAAAAAGTTTATTCATTCTACATTCATGTACATTCATGTCTTATCTTGCGTGTCCCTTGATTAGTAGTGGTGACCTTAAAGTTTGAGGGTGTTAGATAAAAGGTTGTTGTACCAACCTGAGCTGGCAGAGCAGTTAGTGGATGGGGACACTGGGGCGCAGGTATAGCCTTCCTGGCACCCCACCAGAGCGACACACAGACCAGCTGCCGGGAACGATTATCTGATTATTGGGGATGGTGTTCTCCTACAGGGGTTGGATTGATTCTGTCTGAGGTGATTAACGCTTGAAATTGAAGAACAGCTGCACGGGTTTGTATTGTTTAGTCAACGCTCTGAGAGAAGAAATGAAGCTGATTCTCTGGGTGAGGTGAGTAAGGAATTCTTTAAGCGCGCACATGCTATCAAGCTTGATGCTGGTTTTGGCAATACTTTTTAACATTCTAATAACACTTTTGATTTGATAGTACATAACCCAGCATCTTAGGTATATGAAAATCAATCCATAAACTCTCCCCTTCAATCCACTTAGCTTCTAGTAAACTGAATCTGATTAAACGTTTTCTGCAGTTCTAGCAAGAACAGAAATAGAGATGTCCTTTCATTTTCTGAGTAAAGTAATATTGGAATATGGAGCCTGTAGATTTTTTAGTCTGGCATCACGTGGATATCATTAGCCAGCATAGCACATATGGTATAACTCTGCATTGAACATTGTTTCAAGGTGATTTAATTCACTGTGAGTATGGTGTGTCATATTCCATTTATGTATTGTATTGTAGTTTTGGATTATAATCCAGTCTTTAATACAGAACAATGCAGGTCTGACTTTCCCAATCAAGAGGTTTGGTGAAGAAGCCACACATCTCGCTGTCAGAATCAGAAAAGTAGATAACATTGTGGATCTGGATGCTGAAATACTGTAAGTCATGAACATTACACAAAGGTAAGGGACATGATTTAGACACTGAGTGCTACATTCAAAACCCTCCCCCTTCCCAGAATTGAGAGTGGGGGGCAGAATGCGTTCTTTCTCTTTTTAAAAGTCAGTCTTTTAAAGTGATCCATGCCAGGAATGGTAGGCTTGGGTGATCCTTTCATTTCGATAAAGGACCCGTTGCCAGTGGTTTCCTGGTTCAAACGTCATTGCTGCTGCTTGTCTGTTATTCTGATGAAAATGCTGAACCACCTAGCTCTGTTTTTCAGCAGAAAACATCAGATCAGTGCAGCAGTCATTGGAAATGACTAATCTACTCCTTAATGGCTTTGAAAAAAAGGGATGCCAAATTTATTCAGTGTTGTATGAGACATACACTCATTTACTACATGAAACAGTGACAACAAATTCTGAGTGTAACTTCAAGGGAAGCAATTACAATCCATGTAGCTGCTACTTCAGTCAATAAAATGCATTTCCTTCAACACCATCTTGATGGTTTTGCTCCTTTTTTACACCCAACCCCTTGCAGATAGCCTAGAACAGATGCAAAAGATTGAACAAAAACCTTGTTGCTGAATTTAGGATGCTAGATCATGTATTCCATTGTCCTTAGTACAATTCCTATGAAGATGAAGATGCAATGACAGTACCAAGGTCAAGAAATGGTTTGGGATCCCTTCTGGGGGTACCTGTAAAAAAATTAAGCATTCTGTGCACAGAAAATGGATTGGACTTACTGTAGCTGTCGCAATGATCCTTTGAATTGCTCTGTTGCACAAGTTTTTATCTTTTTCCTCCATCATCAACAGTATGATCATTGCATATGTATGGCTACAAAACGCATAACAAGGATTAACAAGATAGAATGAGACTCTGGAGGTGTAATAACCTTCAGTAGCTCTGGAACAGAGAGGAAATTAAGCCTCTCCTTTTAAGAATTAATAAATGTATTTTAAAAAAGCCTGGTTACTGATATTAAATTAGGTCAAACTGAAAATGAAAAAAAAGTTTAATTGAAGGAAGAAAAAATCTAAATTATTGTCTAGTTAACAGAATCAGATATTTTTTTTCCCTCAAATGATAAATTTCACAACCACCCTTAAAGCAACAGCTGTTTGCACTGTACATATCTCAGTACAATGTTGACTCAGCTCTTAACTGCTGAATCTGATTGTGTGTCTATGTACTTACCAAGTCATGTGTATATGTAATAACGTTTTAATCTGAACATTTGAAAGTGAGCTAGCTGGTGGTGCATATAAAGTGTTTGAGTTGCATTTGACTTAACTTTAGTATACAAATTCAGTAATCTTATTAAAGCATCTGTGAGGTGTCTTATGTGGTGATTGGCTATGTGGAGTGAATTGAGGAGACTGGAGTCTGTTGTGCCCATTTCAACGCCGTGTCTCTTTCTTTGAAAGGATGGAAACGCAGATCAATACTGCAAATTGTTTGACAAGCGCTGTGTCAGGCTGGTTTGTAAAAAAAGGCAGAAGAAGGTTGCAAGACTGCAGCTCTTTGGGGAGTTTGTTTTTGTCCCCTTAGCAAGACTAAAAGCCTCTATGCTTTGTTTTACAATCCCAAAGCACATTTGGGAAGAAAGGAAGGTGATTTCATAGGTGACCTGGCAGCTACATCCCTAGAACATCTTTTTCATAACCTAGGTTTTCTAGACAGTTCATATCTTATGGCCCCTGGCTAGAGTCTTATATTGTTCCTTCTAAGAGAGCTATTTGTGCTGTTGCCATCATTCCAGAAATGATATTCATTTATATGTTTACACAATCATTTTATAAAATGAAAATCGCTCTGAAAGCAAGTACATTGCCCTGACACAGCCCAAAGGCTGATCTATTGCAGCTCCTATCCTGCAGAAACAAGAGTCATGGTTGAGACGGACAAAGAAATCAGATATAAACGATATGGAAGAACAATTGTTTCTTTAAAGAGCAAGGATAATGAGCAAGGCGGGTAAAAGATCGAGAATGATGGAGAGGGGAGCAGAAGGGCACACAAGCGTTTTAGCCTTAGTGAAGGGGTTGTACTCGAGGTGTAGATTGGAAAGAAAAAGTCCATGTGGAATTGGCAGACATCTCTCCACTGGCTCCTTCATTACACAGAGAAAGATTGAGGAAGAAGAGCCAGGCTTCTGCTTCCACCTGTCCATTCATCTTTCAAAACGCAGCATGCGACAGTGCCTAACTAGTGGTTGGTTTCACCCTTCACCACCATCACTATGGCCTATAGCCCACCCTTAAGTCACAGGGGTTGACATTTCACCCAGAGAGCCTCAGACGCTGTACTGTCCCAGTGTCCTAGAATAGAGCCACAGAAGAGAGCTTAGCTTCCCCCAGCAACACCACATACAAACTTGTGATATAAATGCTGGTCATTTCAATAGCTCTGAAATCTCATCCACCGGGCCTTAATCGGAACAGAAAGCACAGAGGTGGTTTCAAATATCATGACAGCTGGATGCCCAAGCCTCTTGGCATCTTCCTGCTCTGCTCTCTGCCACATTAGGAGCCTTGCCACCTCTTCGTTGGTGTGGCGCTGATGGATGATGGCTTAGAGCCTGCCCCTTGGCGAGCCTGTGCTTGACGTGGTGGCTCACGATTGACAGTTCCCTAGAAGCATGCTGTTAGACTTCTGCTGTACCCATGTTCTGGGGATCAAGACACTGGAGGAAATGAAAACAGTCCATCCTAATGTCCCCTCTCCCAATCCCTTTTTCTTGTGGACAGTTGCCCTACACTTAGAGCTTCACAGCGCCACAGGAAGTATCTGATATACTACATTGCGTTGGTAGGAGAAGGTGCTTCCAAACCATTTGTTTCTGTGTTTGCATTAAACAGAGCTAAGGCACTGTATGGTATTCTGGAATATGGTTTTCTTAAACTTAACTTTGTAAGTTGAAACTTCAACATTTATAAGGAAATAAGCTTTGAGAAACTAGAGCTTGCTGTCTAGGTGCATCCTTCTTCTGTATTACTGGAATAAAACGGCTGCCCCTTCTCTTCACCCTTTCCCTGTCCTCTCTCTCCAATGATTCCTTATTCCCACATTGAACATGATGTTTTTAAGAAAACGTTTGTTGGCACCACTCGTAGACTAACCCATCACTGCAGGAAAGGTCTGGATTCACCTCCAGCTCCACATCTCCGCAGCGCGACACCGCTTGGCCAGTGTTCTCTCCCAGGCTGTAGTTAGTGCATTGCATCCAGTAGTACAACACTGGTCTGGTCAGAAAAACAAATCATAGCAATTTTGCAGTGCCTGCTTTTCCATAAGTCAGCCAGTATCAGTGGGCTAGCTGCTGCAAGGTGCAGAAACAGATTACTGCTAACTTCATAATCAACCTGTGCTGTACATGTCAGGAAACAAGCGACTGTGTGTGTATGGATTTGCCTGCGCTTGGGGCTCACGTCAATGAAAACCTCTTCTGAAAACAAAACCACATTGATTTTTCCCCCCTTCGCGTGTGAAGTTACATATTAATTTTTGTTTGCTGCAGAGTTTGCCTTCAAATTTATGTTTTAATCAGCGTATACCCCTAAAGAAATACCTTCAGTCAGCAGTTCTGTTTAGATCTGCCTGTATAAGCTGGTGTGCTAATGGACCTGCAATTAAAAGATTCATTCTGTAAAGCTTCTACTTTTATCTGGAGAGTATGTGGCTCTGGGACAGTATTTGAAAGGAGGGAGTGAGACTTCACAACACCCCAAGTTTAAGGTCCCCCCAAATCAAAAGATTCATTGAGTCCTGTTATTGTTTGAAA